TTTGTTTTATTGAACTAGAAACCGAACACATCACGGTAAATTAGCTAATTCATAATGTATGGTACCCTATAGGTAATGAATTGTTTGCTTATAAATCACCTAAGCCCGTAATTAATCCTATTATCGTTATAAAATTAGTTGTAGTTTGTGTTACGCACGCCATTATCGATACATAATGAAGTCTAAACAATCACTGTCGCTCGAATCTTTTTTTAAACCGTTCACTGATTTTGCCTTCTCGGCCAATTCGTCGAATAAAGCTTTTTGTTTAATTCGCATTTCGATAATTCTAACTGAGAAAGAATTCGTGCAATTAACGGAAAGTTTCAATTTTAACAAGCACGAAGCTAAACCGAAACTTTTTTAAAATAGATTGAAAATCTCGTTAGTAAATGGGGCTGAAATGAAGTCAGTAATTGATTGAAAAGGGTTTACGACAAACGTACACATTTGCCTTTTACCGCAGACCTAGAGCTGAAGCTTTTTTATATATTAAGCACGGTCATTTGAAAAAGTGCTTTTACTTTTTTTCGTTTAGCTTGACCATTACGGGGAACTTACCGGTTGTAACAAATTTTGGCTAGTTAAAACTCATTATTATTAATTGTCGCTGCAGCTAATAAAGATAAAAGAATGTTTTAGTTTGAAATTAAAATAAATTACTGAGCTTGATTTGACAGCTGAACAAACTATGTACAGATCAATGAGTCAAATCATTAGACAAGCGCAAGTGGCCGATTTACTTTTCCACATTCTAGGCGTCACTAAACGTCGAAATTACAATTCATCAAATGGGGAGTGCTTTCTGGACAACGTCTGGAAAGTAAAAATGGAATTCGACAACGAAAATACATAAAAACATAGTAAGTCCTCTTCACGTTACGCAGAACAGATCCATTTGATGTAAACACAATGAAATACAGTTCATTATACAGTCTCAACAACTGATTGTCACATCACAGGTGGCATTGACAGGACAAAATAATTTGCCGCTCCATACACACTGAGGTCAAATAAATGCACCTAACAATGTGTACGTTGTTTTCAATACATGTGTTATTTTGTTCCGTTTTCTATTATCAATACGAATTCGGTGTGCCTTTTTTGTTCCTTTTGTAGTTTCTTAATTTCATATTTTCCAGAACGGTTGATTTTTAATTTAACCGAATTGTGTATCTTATAAAATTTGTTTTGTATATTCCACTTCAGGTTTTGAAAAATTATTTGAACGTATGTCAACTAAATAGAAATTGATTGGTCGAAAAATAAGGTTGAATAAAACTGAAAGAAGATATTCCCAACTCCAATTTATAAAGATTCTGTACACGAGGCACTGTTTTAGGCGTTGTGCGACCCTATTACTCACTAAAGCCGAGGACGGTCTAATAAGTTTAAAAACACTTTTTTTTTCTTAATAAGGTTACAGTAAGAGTTAGAATTTTGACATTTATTTTTAGCGTTGTGGTGCCCTCACTTTAAAAATCAAATTTCGCGCCGAAAAAACAAATCCCGAAACCGCAATTCAAAAATAGGAAAATAATTTCAATAATTTAAGGTGTGCATGGGTAGAATGTTTGGGAGATTGGCAGTAAGCCGCCTTAAGTTGGTAGTTACAGGTTGGCAATGATGAAGATTTTTTGAAAGTAGCTCACTGAGTGTAAACACGCGCTAAAATTGACATGCAGAGTTCTGTTTGTAATTTCACCAAAGGGCAATTGTTCAAACAGAAATGAATCGCCTTCGACACCACTTAACGAGTGTAATTAGCGTAAAATTAGTTAATTAGCGATTTTCTAATCTGATATGTTGCGAAACTGTCGAATTCGTCAACACGTTTTATTTTTGTTTTATTGTTGTAAATTTACAACACATGAAAGATTTTTAACTGTTTTAATAAATACAATTTAATTGTAATAATGGAAATGTTCACATAAAACACGTGACGGAAATTCACCTACTTCATCTTTTTACTTAAGTAAGTACATTATCCATACTTTATGCATACTTTCTCACTCGAAATTATATACTTAGATCATCCAAGACATTTAAGCTAATCTTAAATTTTGATTCACTTTCAGAAAAGTACCTTGGAAGTTATTATCAGTAAAATTAATATCGTCATGGTCTTGAAGACCGGGTTTTAACATTGGCATGGGTCAGTTGCACGCTGCGGTCGGAAAAATTTCATTCATTATTAGAAATACAAGAAAAAGCCAAAGGTCAAAGTTGTATGGTTCTTTGAGTACTATACTCTAAAATATAGTTTTAAATATATAGAGTGTTGTGTTTTTCAGACACAACTTCGGCTTTTTTTTAATGAAACATCCCATATATTTTTACATATTTTGATTGGCCTCTTCTTAGGCTTTATAAATACAATTTATTTTTGAAATACTGATGAGACGTTGCCACGTTATTACTATTTTCTTAAAAATTTTTAGCAATGGAAGGGTTCACAAAAAAAAATCGCAATAAGGTAATTTTTATTATCTGTGTTTCAATATTTTGTGGAGAAATACATAAAGGTACGTGCTTTATTGTGGTAAAATTGAACTGAATTTTCCATGTACAGAGTGTTTATATATTCAGTTTTTTCAAATCGAACATCCTATATTTTATTACTGCACCTTATTTTATTTTATATTGTCTTTCGTTTTTGTTAAGTATTTTCTGTAGTATTATTTGTTTGTGAACTCTTCCATCCCCAAAAATTTTACGAAAATTAGAATAACAATGAGAATATTTAAAAATACATATATCGGGTGTTTTATTAAAAACACCAAGTTGTGTGATACACTTAAAAACAACACTCTGTATAGTGAAAAAATAATTTTGGGGTGTAGTCCTTAAAGAACCGCACAAGTTAGCTAGTACCTGCTAAAATAAGACCGATTTTGGCAAATGACATACCCTTTAAGAAAAGAGACGTTGGGTGGGCGGGGCTACTACCTGAGACTGATTTTGACTAATGAGATCTCTCTAAGAAAATAGAGGGTGGGTGGGCGGGGTTAGTACATGCTAAGATAAGAGTGATTTTGGCAAATGAGATACCCTCTAAGAAAAGAGAGGGCGGGTGGGCGGGGCTAATACCCGCTAAAATAAGATCGATTTTGGCAAATGACATACCCTCTAAGCAAAGAGAGGGCGGGTGGGTGGGGCTAGTACCTGTTAAGGTTGATTTTGGCAAATGACATGTTCCCTAAGAAAACAAAGGGTTGGCGGGTGGGGCTAGTACCTACTACGATAAGACTGATTTTAGCAAACAAATGACATATCCTCTAAGAAATTTAATGAGATTATTATAAGAAAAGACACTAGAGGCTTTAAAGCACTTTCAAATTCTTTCCAAACAGGAATACCTAGAACCTCAAGATTGTTTTAAATTAAAAAAAAGAAAAACGGGGTCCTAAAATTATCTCAAAAACAGGTAGGAAAATCAGAATTTTCTAAAAATACAGAAGAACATCAAAGCCCCAAAATTGTTTTAAATATTAATTTAAAAAAAAAAATAAACACATTTTTAACTGCTTACTCTATTGTTGCTGATTTGTACCTTCGCTTTATTTCAGCAAACATTGTTCTCCCATGGATTTTATCAAATTATTTTATATTAATTATTATTAATTAGTTATTGTGATAATGAATGTGTTGTTTAGTTGTGAAACGTGGCAAAAGAACCAATTTTAAAATCATTATAACTTCACCAAAATGTGAGACGGAATTTTTTTTGTACTTTTCCCAGATTCATCTGAGCGTAGCGGAGAGTTAATCCGCCATTTTCCAGACGCCCGGAGTATTAACTAAATTATTAATATATTTAACATATATTGCTACAAACTTCTATCAGAAACGTAGAAGACGATGACAATTTTCGATTTTTTTTCATTCTCTTATAACCCCCTATTTGTGCGCAAGTGTCCTATGATTTTTTGGGAATTTAGAGTAGCACCAGGGGGTAAACTGACCGCTGCGCGCAAGTGACCACCATTAAAATTTTCTTACGGGTTTAATTATTTTCTTACAGCTTAAATTTGGACGTTTTCTGGGACCACCTAACATTGGTTTTGATCGTACTGAATATGTAAGTACCTGTTGTGTTTATTTCACATGTTTTATTTGCATCTGATATGGAGTTTGGGTTTTTTTGGTCCACGATTTTATTTTTGTGAAAACATTTTTGATTTAATCAATAAGTTGAATTATTAACACGTACGCAAAACAGTTTTTTTTCCTCATTCTTATTTTGCATGACAATGTTTATCTGCAATACAGGATTGTTTAAAACGCACTTGGGTTCATTTGCCGAAAATATTCCATTCTTTCGTAGCAACATGAAGTAAAACTTAATCAGAAAACACGAATTTTATTAGCTTTCTGTATCAGCTGCAAAAAAATATAGTGTAGTGGAAAGACTTCTAGTTCAATTTTAGACCAAGCTTAGCTGCACAAAACCAGTTAATTGTCACTTAGCGCCACATAATGCTAAATTTAAGCTCTACAAGCCACCAGAAATGAAAATGTATCAATTCTTAGCCCTTGCAGCATCACTAATGTAATTAAGACGTAACGCAAATTGTGAGGTCTTTAACTTGATACACAATACAAATTACAAATCGTTTGTTTCAGCACGTTTTACAACCGAAAAATATGTCGGAATGATTATTGTATTCATTAGAGAGTATCTTTCTTTTGTTCGTCCATTTAGGGTCGGAAAATGCTCCATCCACCGTATTTTCGTAGCACATTTCCGTGTTATTTTTCAAAGCAATATAAATGGTGGCGCGCATTATGCCATAAAATGGCGTTATTAAGACTAAAATATGAAGAGTTATTTTTAAAACCACAACAAAAATAGACGAAAATAATAAGAAATAATTACCCAAGCGAAATATTGTTATTACGGCTTACGAACTGACACGAAAATACGACTATAACACTTTTCTTTTGTATCCTTTTAAAAAGAATGACGTCGTATTTCTCACAAATTATAACGGACTCACCTCTAGAAGGTACATCAAAGAAGCTCGTCCGGACACGTGCACTTTCGTCATGTCCATCAAAACTTGGTACAAGTCATTGCTCAGTCGCAAAGTTGCAGCGTGGCAAGTCAAAGTAACTCTTTTCAGCGTCTCTCCTAAGGCAAAAATCCACATCTGCAAAAAAAATTACTTTTAAGGACCACTCGACCGACGTCAAATATAGGTATATCCCCGTATTTTAGGGATATTGTAGCCCTCACATAAAAAGCACAGCGACGAAGGTTCAAATAAACTAACGGCTTCAATAAAAAACAAACAGAACAAAGTCAACAGTAATTTTACATGACCGCTGACCATAAAACGGAATGACCACACACAAAAGTATTGTTCGATAAATGAAACCAATAAATTCGCTCGAAGTAATCACTCTATAAAACGTTCTTAATTATCCCCAAATGCAATAGATGATTCGGCGATTAAAAGTTGAATCGGTGGAACACTCTCTAGGGATGATTTTAATTTATATTAGAATTCAACACTCGATTGTGACTATTTTTTGATGTATTGTTCGTGTATGAAACACTAATTATTTGTATTGTGTTTTGCTTGGTAAATGATTTTGCCACTTTCTGCAGACGCTGATTAATTACAAGCTAATTATATTAAAGCCGACAGTTGAAAATCATTTGTTCTATGCCTTATAAATTTATAAAAGGTTTATATCGGTTTCTCGAGCTCGTAAACATTCTTTTCAGTGAATAATTCTTTAATAATGGACTGAAAAATTTGCATACAATCGCTTAATAATTTCTTTTGATGTACGCCCGACTTGACAGTTTATTAATTGATGAATTAGGCAGTGGCGGAGCTGTGGGAAATTAAAAGAGCAACGTTTTCCCCTTTTTTTAATTATTTTCCGGCTATGTTGTTATTAGTGTTCAAATTTGTACAAAGTAATTAATTATAACGTTTATTATTTTTTATATAACACTTTCATATCAATTATGATAGTGACCGTCGTTGAGATTAATTGTTACTGTAATTAACAATTCGTATCAAAAAAATTTATAAAAGAGGACAACAATTTAATCTCATGTGTTAAGAATAACTTCACTAGACTGCTTTAAAATAAACACAATTAGGCGTGGCAGTGAAGAGCGCAAATTGTCCATAAGCAGGTATCAAGGTTCCATGGTGTAATGGTTAGCACTCTGGACTCTGAATCCAGCGATCCGAGTTCAAATCTCGGTGGAACCTGTACTTTTTTTCTTTTTTTTTTTATCAATAATAATAATTTCAAGGTTATTAAGACCCGGAGAATAACTTACGATTAAAATAAGAAGCTATCGCTGGTTTATAATTTATTACATTTCTATTATCTAATCAACGGTGGTAATGGCTTTTGTGTAGTGTTAGAGACCTACCTATCACATCGAGGGTTCCATGGTGTAATGGTTAGCACTCTGGACTTTGAATCCAGCGATCCGAGTTCAAATCTCGGTGGAACCTATTTTGCAAAAAAATAGAACAAAAATCGAGATCGCGAATACTAGTGTTGATGGATTTTGTCTCTAATTAGTACTTTCACTCCTATATTCTCATGTTCCAATATTTCTGCAATTATTTATAGCACATACAATATACTTTTTTCCCACTTTATATTACAAAATAATATTTATTAAAGTAGCTATTGACTCCTTACAGTTTTGTGTGATGTAGTAAATAAAAATACTCCTAATAATGATTATATTTACAGATTTTAAACTTGTAGCATCTTCCATAAGCGCATGATTATACGAAAATCGTGTTAACAACGGTTCCATGGTGTAATGGTTAGCACTCTGGACTCTGAATCCAGCGATCCGAGTTCAAATCTCGGTGGAACCTCATTTTGTAAAAAAAACTTTATTCATCGTAAATTTAGAACACAGTTTTTTTGCTCAAATCTAAAATTTACCTAAACTGATAAAAATGTACAGTTCCTGCAACGCTTACAATTTCTAATTAAGACTTAACAAAGTTAGTAAGAATTATCTGCTAGTACTTATTGAACTCCGTCCCTTTTCCCAGCTCAATATTTACTTCAATTTGCAGCTTGACGTGTTTATCCGAAATAGTTCTCAAGTTCGTAGTTGTAGCAAAAACTGGAATAAATGACTTAGGAACTTCATTCTAGGCGCGCTAAACAAGTTCACAACACGAGAATACAATTCTACGTTGTGTACATTTAAGCAATACACTTCTTACACAAGGCACTTCTAACACAATCAATTAATCTTGATCAATTGCTCGAGGCTTAAAAAGCAAATTGAATTATATGATAAAGCGATTATTAATAATTCCGGCTCCGGGCTTACTTCCAACTTCGGAACACCACTTACCGGAAAACCTACGGGAACGAATGAATTTCAACTCACTTTATTTTTTATGTTAGTGTTGCACAGCACGATTAACTCATTTACTTATGCATAGAGTTTCTTGCAGCACGTTTCTGCTGTTTTTCGATGTTTTGTGTCCTAGGGACTCTTAAATGATATCAAAGAGTTGATGAATAAATTACAATGAAGTAAAAAATACTCTAGAAGCTTCTACACCCACAGAGAAAACAAAAATCAATTTTGGTCACAATTCCATTTGAGCTTCCAGTGGCCAGGGGTTAGAAAACGTTTTCACGCATCTTGGTTGGAAAGTATTTTAACTCCTGATAGAGCGTACAACCGTTCTCGGCAACACAGAATAAACAGGGTTAAAGGAAATCAGCGGTAAAGATTGTACCTAATTATCACAAAGTTCCAAGTTCATCTAAGACTCCAGAAATTCAACAGTCCCAACACTTGCTCATTTGTTGCAGCAATTGTTAGTTTATAGATACTTAAGAAACTTCAGAAATATTTTAAAATATGGCTAACAACCATACACATCGAAATATCAAAGAAAACAGTGAGTTGTTCTGCTATCGAGGACTCGATTTTGCGTTGAGACAAACATATTATTATTCTAAGAAACCATAAACTCAGAACAAAAAGGCAGACAATTTACGATATTTTCTGCTTGTTTGATAACTTGTCTATATTTAATATTAAATAAAAACATTTTGTAATTAAAGAAAAAACAACATTTTCTTGATATAAAAGAATTGGTCAAAGGTTACTTACACCCCCTGAAGTAGAATCAACCAATCAGTATAAGAAAAAAATAATGGATCGAACTCCGGATCCTTCAGATGTAAAACTAACACTATTATGAGAAATATTGAACAATAAAAATTGTAATAATAACAAATAAAATCAAGGCAAATTCATAAACCTCATGTACAGGAATGTTATTTTATAAAATTTAAATGGCATAACACAGTTTTAAGAGATCCTCCTAGAGATTTTTTCTGAATTCTTAATGACCAGTTAAATATTATTCTCTCCTTTCCAAATAATTGGATCAATATTTAGACGACGCTCCTTTACCTGAACTAAATCGTACAATTCTTCAGCAAAATGGTGCCACAGCACATAACGCTAACTTAAGAGATTTTTAAATTTGCTTTTTGGGATATATTGGTTATTTATATATGGCCCAATTCGATGACCTGTGCATTCGCCTGACTTGACTCCACTTCATTTTTTGTGTGGTCTCATATTCAAAACAGTATATTTTGTCAACGCACAAAGTATGTATTTGAATTTTGAAATACATGAAACTAAGAATTCAATAAAAATATTTTACTGTAGATTATGGAATATTTGTTAATTGAAAATTGTTTTCGCTGGTCATATATTTTAATTTTTTGGTCATTTAATTAATTTTTCGAAAATATTAAGAACTTTTACTACTTTTTATTTTCATTGTTTGATAATGAGTAGTTATTTAGTGGGGGTTCTGGCTCACTTTTGTGGGAAATTAACATGGGAAATTGTCAAAATTTCGACTGTTAACTAATCAGAATTCATTTATTTATCATTTCCAAAAACTTGATGACGTCATCTTGTAATTTGCTAAGTTGAACTTGCTTGAACTTTATAGTGGGATATGCTCTCATTTGTAGTTTAATAATGTATCCGTATTTTTAGAGATATTAATGCTGGTCTTCGTAAAAACATTAAATTTGTACAAGCCAATTTTAGAGTTTACCTTAGAATCTAAGACACGAATTTTTGAAAAATTCGTGTCTTAGATTCAATGAGTTAATGACCTCATTGAAAAAATTATTAAATGTCTATTAAAAAATCAGCTTGAAATGTTGTTGTGGTTCAATTATACATTTTTATTTTTTAAAATGTTTATACAGGGTGCTTAAAAATTAATGAAAGAAGCAATTCATTTTATTGATTTATTGGTAGGTACTGTTTTTATTTTAATTGTTTTATAGTGAAGACTTATATAGCGGGAGTTCTGGATCATGTTTGTGGGAAATTAACATAGGAAATCTTCCAATTTCCACTGTTAACTATACAAATTCACTTGTTCGTCCCTTCCAAAAATTGCCCTTCCTTTCCTGACCTGACCTAATCTGACCTGACTTCAAATTATTATTAATGTATCATAAATATTACAGTGTGATAAAATTATGAATTCAGGAAAAAAATTCTACAAGAATCTCAAAAAAATTTGTTGAAAGTTGTTTCGACAGAACTTCCCTCGCTCCTGAAATTCAATGATAATTTTTTTGAGTCACCTGTATACACAAATCCAAAAAATATTAATGGAATAATAATTCATAAGCACAGACTCATCATATTTTATGCATTTTGGATAGGATTTATTCAGCAAAATTTTGGAGTGACGTCATCAATTTTTTGGGGGGGACGAGCAACTACATTTTGATCAACAATTTACCATGCTTATGATAACTTTAAAACATTTCCAAGATTTCAAAGCATTCGGTTTTGTAGTTTCTGATTAATAAAATACATTTACGCATTCATTAATTTTTTTGAGTTACCCTATATATAAATCATAAGTACAGACTCATCGTATTTTCCACATTTTAGAGAGGATTTATTCGGCACCCTTTTGAGCTGACGTCATCAATTTTTTGGAGGGGATAAGCAAATATATTTTGACTAAAAAAATGTGCAAAATATGATGAATTTTTTCTTGTGATTTATCTTTGCATTTTTTTAGATTTGCTTAAACAGTTGGCTCAACAAAATTAATGAATGAGTCAATTTATTTTATTGATTAAATCAGAAAGGGCTAGTTTTTGTTAAGATAAAACTAATTTGGCCCCTATTAAGGGATCTCATTTGCCAAAGTCAGTCTTATCTTGGCAGGTACTAGCCCCGCCCACCCACCCTCTCTTTTCTTGAAGAGTATATGATTTGCCAAAATTAGTATTATCTTAGCTAGTCCTTGCTAACGTAAGTCTTATTTTTGACAAATGACATATCCTCTGATAAAATAGGGGGCGGGTGAGCGGGGCTTGTACTTACTAACATAAGAATGATTGTGGCAGATGACACATCCTCTAAGAAAATAGGGGGCGGGTGGGCGGGGCTAGTACTTGCTTAGATAAGACTGATTTTGCCCCTATTAAACTTGTAAAAACTTGTTAAATTTAAAAGGCGTTAAATTACATATTTCCATAATAACGAATTAAATTCCTAAATCTGATATTTAGTGGAAAAAGATATTGAAAAATAATAATATTGTATTCCAAAAATGTTCTCGGAAAATACTCTGAGAAAAGCGGGGGCGGCTGATATTTAGTTTTAAACAACTCAGTCAATAATTTTTCGGAGACACCTGTATAAGCAAATTTAAAAAGTATTAATTATATATTAAAAATAAATCACAAGTAAAAACTCATCATATTTTGCACATTCAGTGTAGATTTAGGAATTTAACCCGTTACTATGGAAATTTGCAATTTAATACCTTTAAATTTTACAAATTTTTACAAGATTAATAAGGGAAAATCAGTTTTATCTTAACAAATACTGGGAACCCCCGCCCACCTTTTTTCCCAAAGGATATGTCATTTGCCAAAATCAGTCTTATGTTAACAAGTACTAGCCCCACCCACCCACCCTCTATTTTCTCAGGAGATATGTCATTTGACAAAATCAGTCGTATCTTACCAAGTACTAGCCCCGCCCACCCACCCCCCGTTTTTCGGAGGATATGTCATCTGCCAAAATAAGACTTATGTTAGCAAGTGCTACTTTTTTATTTTCTCAGAGGGTAGTACTTGCTAGTACTTGCTAAGATAAGTCTTATTTTGGCAATTGACATATCCTCTGAGAAAATAAGGGGGCATGTGGGCGGGGTTAACACTTGAGATAAAACGGATTTTGTCCCTTATTTTCCCAGAGGATTTGACATTTTCCAAAATCAATCTTATCTTATCAAGTATAGCCCCGCCCACCCGCCCCTATTTTCTTACACGCTAGGTGATTTGCCAAAATCAGTTTTATCTTACCAAGTATTAGCCCCGCTCCCCCTAGTTTCTCAGAGGATATGTCATTTGCCAAAATCAGTCTTGTCTTACCAAACACTGTCCCCGCCCACCCGCCCCCGCTTTTCTCAGAGTATTTTCCGAGAACATTTTTGGAATACATTATTAGTTTTCAATATCTTTTTCCACTAAATAATATAAGTAAGTGAAATGGAGAAAGGAGGTGGGCGGGGCTAAATTTATCTTTTTTCTAGTTTTATGACAAAGCAGTACCCCGCCCGCCCACCCCTTCTTCGTTGCAATGACTACTCTTAATATTGTTCAGTCATAGCTTAGCAAGTTTTAGCCCCGCCCGCCCACCCTTTTTTTTAGAAAAAAAATGTCATTTAACAAAATCAATCTTATCTTAACAAGTATCCCATTCACCCCTTATTTTCTTGGAGGGTATGTTAGTTGCCAAAATCAATCTTATCTTAGCAGATACTAGCGCCGCCCACACATGCTGTTCTCATTCTAACGATTTTATCTTTCTTCAGTTGAGATCCACGTTTCATTCGGACTAGACAAAATGAATCACTGAAGTGGAGGCGCCGTGGGTGGGCGGTGTAATTTTTTTGTTAAATTACTTATAATAATAATAATAATAATATGTATTTAATATCGAAAGAGATACAAGATCTATAAGACGACATACCAAAAATAAGTACTAAACGTATGCACAAGTAATGACAAAAAAAAGAAATACATAAAAACAAAAAACAATTAATTCATACAACTTAAAGATTTTTCAGATAGCTATTTAAAAAGGATAAACTTTCATTAAAAAAAATCAAGATTATTTGAAATTCTGTTTATAGAGTTGACTGTATGTATTATCTATAAGTCCATGAAACGTAAAATTTGTGTTACTTATTAATAAATTAATAGAAACAAATGTCATTTGTTATAATATTTTTTTATTTTTTATTTCTGAAGAAAAAAAAGCGAGAACGGGTGGGTGGGCGGGGCTAAGTTTAACTTTTTCCTACAGAATCTTTTATAAGCAAGCAATAGCCCCGCCCACCCACACTCTATTTTCTTAGGGAGCATATAATTTGCCACAATCAGTCTTATCGTAGCAAGTACTACACTGCACCAATCCAAGTTTATATACGTGTCCCTGCAAACATGTTGATGAGGTCATTACAAAATTGTGTAAAGTAAAAACTCAACTCAAAAATGCTAGATATGTTTCATTGTACTTTCGATGCGAGGGAAGTTCTGTCGAAACAACTTTCGACCAATTGTTTTAAATCATGATCGTAGTATTTAAAAGAATTTAATTTAACGTTGTCACACAATTTTGTACTCGAAAAAATAAAACAGTTACGTACAAACCTATATGTATATAAAGGATTTTTTTTAATTTGGATGCAAGGGTAAAAACTCATGGCGGATTCTAAAAACAACAGTATATAGTTTTTATCAAAAATTCAACAAAAAAAGCATACTACAAGTTATTGATAATAGTCATCAACATTAATGTTTATGTGGTTTAAGTGCACTTTCTGTTTTACCGTTTTATTATTCTCGATATCTATCTATTAAATACAGAAGTTTTTTTTTTTTTTGTAGGGAGAAATTTGAATTGGATTTTATTTTATTTTCACTACTTGTTTAGTGTGTGGCGAAGTGGAATGACATTTGGATAGTGGTATGACGAGTCGCAGTCAACATTAAAAGCTTCAAAATCAACCTAGGAATAAGACAAACATTTAAAAATTATAAAAGATCGTGCATCAAGTTGGCTTTGAAATTTCGTGAATTAGCCGCTTCGTTGTGATGATTGATGACTACTCGTCGTCTGCCACAAATGATAATCACCTCCGAACTTTCTTAAGCGTGATGACAATGTGCTTGCAGCAAAATAAAGACATTCCCAATTTCTTGTAGGAGTAACCAAAGCATGTAATATTCATATTTTATGTTATTTTTTGAGTGGTATAAATTGTTTGGTGGAACGAGCTTTTATCGCACATAAAAAACTATATGGTGTCTGTAAAATCCCGTCACTATTTACTGCAGTGAAATCTAGTATGCTATGACGTCAGTTATACACCCTAATACTACACAAATATGTATAAAGTGATTACATGGAATACGAGACAACTTTAGATTTTCCGAAAATAATCAATTTCAGTTTTTTCTGAGTCAATCGACTGCGTATATTCGTTGTTTACGACCTGCTGCTGCTGAAAGTTAAAAAACACCACCCTGTATTATAGCTACTTGGCTGAATCTAAATAAAAATGACGCACCGTAGCGTAAAAATTGATTTACGCATCCGCCCACAAAAATCGTTTCACGAATACCGTCACCACTGCACTCTCCACACCGTAAATCCAAACCAGTCAGTCAATACGAAAATAAGCCCGCGCGTGCAAAAACGGCATCCCCGTCCAAACAAAACTCGCCGCAAATAAACCGCCAATCACGCGGTTCCATGGTGTAACGGTTAGCACTCTGGACTTTGAATCCAGCGATCCGAGTTCAAATCTCGGTGGAACCTAATTTTTTTTCGCATCGATTCGCCGAATTGTGAAGCGTCGTAAATTAAAGTGTTACCTTTTCCGTCTCCGTGTCTGTGCACTGTTTGTTAGGCCTGTATTCAGGGGCTAAATACCCTGCCAGGTGCGCTGGGGGACCACATCCAAATACTGTGCTGCTCTGACATAGTTTCACTCTTCCCCTGGATGAAAGCATGAGGGTAGACGGTGTTACCAGAGGAATGCACGAATCACCTGAGGCGCCATCTGCAACAAACAACAGTTCTGTAAGGATGTGCCTCAAAGCGTTATTTGCATGTCACTGGGAACGCAATGTCAACTATTCGATATTTGCTGTTCGTGGATGATTTGAGGGCTTGAAGTATGCAAGCTCTTGTCTAAGACGCACAGACTAAAGATCATTTACAGCGAAAATTTAGGACATAAGTATTAACTTCATTTTTTAGGCTAGCTCAACTCGTATTTTTCTATAACGTGTAATTTTACCTTAACTAGTAGGAATATTTATTTGGCTTTTTATTTTATATTGTATTTTCAAAATAAAACGTCTAAATTCAATTGTAAAAAATGACGTACAAATAATTTCTGTTGTCAGATAGAGCAGATTTTAAGCTTTTAAACTGTCCTTTTGAATTTGGTCGATATTTATTTATAGCAGTGTAATGTAAGTTGGCACTACTCTCTGTCACTGATGGTTCACGGTCGGTTGTATAGTTTCCTATCTGTACAAGATTACCGAACAAAAAACTTTGTTATTAAATGTACAATACCACTCTGCCGTAACTGGAGAGGTGTTAAATGCATTTCTTCGTCATTTCCTTCTATTAAAATACACAGCGGGGAAAACAATAATTCAACAAACAATTTAAATTTCTTTTGAAGTTTGAAGTTGCAAAACTTGAAATTCTCGGATATTGATTTCGTCACCTAGGCAACGTTAGTGTCACCAACATATGCTACGCACAGAAAAAAAAGCACTAGTTTTTTTATAGTCCTGAAAATACAAAAAAAAAAATCAACAGAAAAACGTATAAAACCAATTTTTTTATGTATCGGTAAGTCTATAAGTTTGAAAAATTACCAAGAATTCTTGAAATCGTTACATTGTTGTTTTTTAAGGCCTAGTGGAGGAAGGAAATGAACTAAGTGGAGCTAGTCGAAATGTGCTGAATTTTTTATATGATTTTCAACTTAATTAAGCTAATAAAAATCGACACAGACAACAGATACATGACAGACGTCAGACAGACAGACAGACGGAACTTCGACTGTTTATGTTTATACATACAGAAAGAAAGAGTTCGACGATTAAGCACGTTTAAAATTCGCAGTTTACACACTAACTACATTTAAATCATCACTTCGTAAAAATTCTTTCGTGTAACATTTTTTCCACTGTTTTACTTCCACTTGCCAGCGAAATTTTTCTGGGCGTCTTGTGTTTACATTGCTTTAATTAGCGAATGAAGTGTTAACATAAATATACTCTTTCAATTTTGGTAATTTGGTTCTTTTTTGAATGTTATTTGGGTGTTATTCCTTCTATTATCGTAAACATTTTTAACTTTCTATTTACTTCTCTAATGGCAACTTAATTGGTAATTTTGAAGAATTTCCAATTTCCTGAATCTAATACTGGAATCACATGACAAAATGAAAATAAAAAAAAATGTTGCGTTTGGCTATATGTATTAATAAAAAACAATCAAAGTTAAGCATGTACTGATAACACATTTTCCCCTTGGTTGTTTGCTTTAAATATATTTGGTTTTGCCGGTGCCTGTCTTTAACCCTCCACGCATATTTTTATTTTAACTCGTCGCCTGAGAACTTGTTTGATTTACAAACCAGAGCGCGCACAGGCCAGTGTCGACTCTAAAGGTTCAGAAGCGATTTGATTGGTTTGTACTATAATTTCTGCGGGGAAATAGTTGTTTGGTCGGATTTTATAACGAAGTGAACATTTTTGAAAAAAAAAAAAAAAATCACATGTCACATGTTTCACTCGATTTTTTCGGGAAAATGTAGTTATTTTTATGCTTTGGAAACGTTGTGTTCTACATTGTATGAATTTTTAAATGTTTTTAGTAAGAATTTTTGTGGTTATTTGTGATACATTGTATGATATGTATTAATAATGAGAAAAAAATTAAAAACTAAAATCTTCGAAAATTTGAAAAATCGAAAACCTGAAAAATCGAAAAACCAAGGTGTCAAGAAATCGAAACATAAAAAAATTGTAAAACCGAAAAATTGAGAAATAGAAATGTTGAAGAACTGAAAATCAGAACATTGAAACGTCAAAAAAACGAAAAATCGAGAAATGATATCTCCTAAATTGAAAATCGAAAGATGGAAAAACTGGAAAATCGAAAAACCGAAAATCCGAAAAGTAAAAAATCCAAAAACATCGAAACATCTGAATCTCGATAAACGCAAAATCAAAAAATTTAAAAATTCGAAAAATTGAAATATTGAGAAATCGAAAAATCATGAAGTCCAAAAATCGAAAAATTGCAAAATCGAAAAACCTAAAAGCGGAGAAATAAAAAAACGGAAAAATGAAAACTGAGAAACCGAAATATGCCAAAATTAAAACACGAAAAGTTATAAATTGCAAAACTCATAAATCGAGAAACTGAACAATCAAAATATCGATAAGCCGGGAAATCAAAACATTAAAAAATCGAAAAATTTAAAAAATGAAAAATAAAAAAACCTAAAATTTGAAAAAACGAAAAATTGGAAACAGAAAATCTAAAACCGAGAAGTCGAAAAATCGAAAGATTACGAAATCGAAACATTTGAAAAATTCGAAAATTTGAAAAATTGAAATATGGAAGAACTGAAATGAAAAATCGAGAAATCCAAAACCATACAATTTTAAAAATTGAAAAATAAAAAAATCTGAAATTTAAGAATCGAAAAATTGAAAAATCGAAGAAGTAAAAAAATCGACACATCGAAAAATTCAGAAGACAAAAATCGAAAAGTACAAGAATTGAAATATTGAAAAATCTCAAAACTGAAATATCGAAAAACTGAAAAATGCAAGAAAACTGAGAATCTAAAAAATTGAAAAAATGAGAAATCAAAAAATCAAAAAAGTTAAGTCGAAAAATCGAAACCTAAAAAAAATCGAAAAATTGAAAAATCAAAAACCTAAAAAATTCAAATATCTAAAATTTAAAAACCGAAAAACGAAAAATCGAGAAATCAAAACTCAAATTTAAAAAATCGGATAATTGAAAATTGAAGCATCGAAAAACAGGAAAATCGAAAAACCGAAAATCCGAAAAATAAAAAATCCAAAAACCGTAAAATTGAAAATGCAAAAATCGAGAAATAGAAAAGTCGAAAAGTTAAAAATTGAAAGATAATAAATCGAGAAATTGAACAATCAAAATATCGAAGCATCCAAATCTCGATAAAAGCAGAAATCAAAAAATTTGAAAATTCGGAAAATTGAAATATTGAGAAATCGAAAAATCATGAAGTCCAAAAATCGAAAAATTCTAAAATCTAAAAATTGTAAAATCGAAAAACCTAAAAGCGGAGAAATAAAAAAACGGAAAAATGGAAACTGAGAAACCGAAATATGCCAAAATTAAAATACGAAAAGTTATAAATTGAAAAACTCATAAATCGAGAAACTGAACAATCAAAATATCGAAACATCCAAATCTCGATAAGCCGGGAAATCAAAACATTAAAAAATCGAAAATTTAAAAAATTAAAAATAAAAAAACCTAAAATTTGAAAAAACGAAAAATTGGAAACAGAAAATCTAAAACCGAGAAGTCGAAAAATCGAAAGATTACGAAATCGAAACATTTGAAAAATTCGAAAACTTGAAAAATTGAAATATGGAAGAGCTGAAATGAAAAATCGAGATATCCAAAAACATACAATTTTAAAAATTGAAAAATTAAAAAATCTAAAATTTAAGAATCGAAAAATTGAAAAATCGAATAAGTAAAAAAATCGAAACATCGAAAAATTCAGAAGACAAAAATCGAAAAGTCGAAGAATCGAAATATTGAAAAATCTCAAAACTCAAATATCGAAAAACTGAAAAATGCAAGAAAACTGAGAATCTAAAAAATTGAAAAACTGAGAAATCAAAAAATCAAAAAAGTTAAGTCGAAAAATCGAAACCTAAAAAAAACCGACAAACTGAAAAACCAAAAACCTAAAAAATTCAAAAATCTAAAATTTAAAAACTGAAAAACGAAAAATCGAGAAATCAAAACTCAAATTTAAAAAATCGGATAATTGAAAATCGAAGCATCGAAAAACTGGAAAATCGAAAAACCGAAAATCCGAAAAATAAAAAATCCAAAAACCGTAAAATTGAAAATGCAAAAATCGAGAAATAGAAAAGTCGAAAAGTTAAAAATTGAAACATAATAAATCGAGATATTGAACAATCAAAATATCGAAGCATCCAAATCTCGATAAAAGCATAAATCAAAAAATTTGAAAATTCGGAAAATTGAAATATTGAGAAATCGAAAAATCATGAAGTCCAAAAATCGAAAAATTAAGAAACCGAAATAGGCCAAAATCGAAAAAACGAAACGTTAAAAGTTGAAAAATTGGAAAATCGAAAATCTAAAAGCAGAGAAATAAAAAAACGGAAAATGGAAAAACTGAGAAACCGAAATATGCCAAAATAAAAAATCGAAAAGTTATAAATTGAAAAACTCATATATCGAGAAACTGAACAATCAAAATATCGAAACATCGAAATCTCGATAAACCGGGAAATTAAAACATTGAAAAATCGAAAAATTTAAAAAATGAAAAATAAAAAATTCGAAAATTTGGAAAAACGAAAAATTGAAAACAGAAAATCTAAAACCGGGAAGTTAAAAAATCGAAAAGTCGAAGAATTGAAGTATTGAAAAATCTCAAATGTCAATAATGAAAAAAAACTAAAAAATCCCAAGATCGAATCGTAAAAAATCGAAAAATATAAAAATCAGAAACCTAAAAAATTTAAAAATTGAAAAATCAAAAGCCTGAGAAATCAAAAAATTGAAGAGTTGAATAACTAATATATCGGAAAATCGAGAAATAGAGAAATCGAAAAATTGAAAAATGAAAGAAAAATTAAGAATGGATAATCTCAAAAATTGAAAAGTCAAAAAGTCAAAAAAATGAAGTGGAATTTTATATATATATATATATATATTTTTTGACAAACCCTATAAGTTAAAATAAAGACGCATCAAATAAAATAG